TAAACCCTAAACTCGAAATCCTGAACTCCTTGACCCAAGCCTCCTTGACTTCCCTAGGCCCACGAGCCCCTAGGGTTTAGGGTTGAGGGGTTTAGGGGTTTAGGGGTTTAGAGTTTGGGGGTTTAGGGTTTAGGGTTTAGGGGTTTAGGGGTTTAGGGTTTAGGGTTTCTCTATGGACCCGACTCCCTGTAAACCCTAAGACGCTGTATACACCCTGAACCTCCGTAGGCACACATGTGGAGTTTGAGACAATAGAGCGCCGAATAAGGCATCCGAAGGCTATGCATGTTCTGACCACCCCAAACACAAGTAAGGTAATGTAGGAACCTGATTAAGAAACCCTGGCCCTATTATAACCCCAAACATACTAGGCCTCATATTAAGCAGTTGAATAAAGACCCAGGGTTTCTTCATCAGGTTCCTACATTACACTCTTGTGCATTCGCCTTGTATGGCTTCTCCGAAGCCTGAACCCCTGAACCCACCCTGTTTCCGGGTTTGGGGGTCGAGGGTTCGGAGGCGTGGAGGTTTGGGAGTTGAAGCGCTTCGGCGCATAGAGCCTTAGGGTGTACGGCTTTCGAGTTAAGCACTTTTTTTTTAGGTGGTTTAGGGCTTATAGGGCTTATGAAGTTTAGGGTTCAAGGTCTGCTTAGGGCTGAGGTGCTAGGGTTTGCTTGGATCTCTTCCTGGGTATATGCAGAGAGCATGCTTTGCCGACGGTGGTTAAAATATTTCTCCATTGTTCATTAACTGCCGCGACCCGTGCTCGCTCCGCATGAGGTGGCAGCAACATCACGACCTGCAGGTGAGTCATTCCCTAGTAAAGCTATACTCATTTCATTTCCGTACACTCTTGCGGGGGTCGAAAAACTTAGCCTGCTTTAGAATCCCCACATAGTAAACTGCGACCGCCGTTCCAGCCTTTGGCAGACTTTATACAGACCGTGCAAGCTAACATGCAAGCTAAGATGCTGAAATGAGGACCACTGAATAAAGCACCCCTAGGGTAGTTCTCCAAATTAGGGTCCTGTTTTGGGTCCCCAATATAGTACGGCACCCTTCTAAAAAAAGGACCCTAAAAGGAACCCTATTTGTGAGAACTTCACCCCTAATTAATCCAGAATACCAGGGGACCCCTAAACCCTGAACCTTAAAACCCCAAACCCTCAACCTCACAAGGCCTCTAACGCGATTTTTTCCATGCACTGCCAAAGCCATCTAGAATCTAGAGCCCCAAAGAAGCCCCCACCGCTTCCCCCCAAACCAAAATAGAGACTCAACCATTTTCTTTTAAGAAGCTCGAGGTAACCGACTTTTTTTCGAATCTCCTGTTACGCTTTCCTTTATGTGATAAGCCCTGAAAAAAGCTAGGTCTGGTAGGGTTTCTGGTAGGGTCTATAGGGTTTATGTTTAAGGGATTCGGCTGTGGGGTTTAGGGGTTTAGGGTTTAGGATGGTTTAGGGTCAGGTTTTCGGGTTCGTTTGAAGCCCCAACCAATCTGGACACCAGGCCGGGAGCCATAAAACCTTGACACATGTGCCATGCACCTGGGTCCTCAGGGCATCCCTCCAGCCCCAAAAGCGTACGACATAGTAGGTTATATTACCGTTGAACTATGAAGGCGCAACCGTAAAAAAGTCGTAGTATAAGGAAACCCGGAACAAAACACATACATATACACACACGCACACACACACACACACGCACACGCACGAGAACAAACACCATAAGTCTAGGGTTTATAGGGTTTAGGAAGCTTAGGGACTTATGTATAGGGTTTGTACGGCTTGGAAAGTCGTGTGTGGGTGTTTTTGGCTCCTGAAGTGTCGGGACCTATCCCTAAGGGTCCAAGTACCTAATTTTAGTGTTTAGGGTTTAGGGCTTAGGGTTTAGGGGCTTAGGGTTTGGGGTTTCGGGTTCACTGCTTAGGGTCATATACTCTCTCAAATATTACCTGGGTCCTTTGGACTCTATAAGGGTATAGGCGGTATAGGACCATGCCTACAAACCAGCAGGTGGGTTTAGGGCTTAGTCTGTCACGGTTTAGGGTTTAGGGCTTTAGGCTTAGTGTTTAGGGCTTATGGCTTTGGGTTTTAGGACCCCGCAAACTATCGTAGACTATACCTCTGGCTCCAGAAGCCTCGTGCTTCAAGGGGTTACACCCTACAATTAAGGGGTCATAGGTTCAGGGTTTAGGGTGTAGGGCATAGCCTACTATAAACTTCCAACTTTCAACCGAAGCCATCGAACTGCGATCGTCGAAAGGAACTTTATAATTATAAGCTGCCATACTCGGGCATCTATCGCGACGTTTAGGGGCCGCAGAACTTAATCTACATTCTACATGGGCGCTGCCATGATACCCAATATCATGTTTTCCCTATAACGGCAACTGAAATCAAGCTCCGTAAACAGAAGGCAAGTCAAGCGATACTTGGACGACGTTGCCTTGTCCTCCATCTCCCGGATCAATTCACTGAGCGGGCCTGCCGATGCCGGTCTCTACACCTCAAACCCTAAACCCCACAACCCCGAACTCTTGTGGTTCAGGATTTGGGCGCAGTTTGGGGCTGAGGGGCAGGCCGGCTAAGGAACAAAGGAAAGTTCTAGGACACCAAATTCAGGACCAGTGGTCTGGGTTCTGGATTCGACCCAGACCCGGAAATACCTGTGTGAGGATAACCTCTTTAAATCGTTTCCCCGCTCATATTGCTAGGCCCCCCGGCCACTAAACACTTGGAAAGTGTTCGTGTTTATTAGGGGGTATGTTGATCTCTACTGCCATTTTTGGGGGGTCGTGCTCTTGCTCCTGCTCTGGCTCTGGCTCCCACGCTGACTTTTGCTCCTGCTTCTGCTGCGTCTCTTGCGCCTACTCTTGCTCTTACTCAGCTCTTGCTTTTTGCCTTGCTCTTGCTGATGCTCCCGCTTTTGCTCTTGCTTCTGCTCTCGATCTAACTCCTGCTCTTGCTTTTGCTCTTAAGTCTCGAAACCCCCCCAAGTCAGAATAGGTTTTTAAAGGGCGATGTGATTTTATTACTAGCGGCCGTTTAATAAAAGGGGATGTGTTTAACGAGTGGGATCCTACAATAAACTAAGGTTAGCCAACAAAGTGATTACAATATAGGGTCTAAGTCGGTATTGCTCAATCCTGCAGTACCCGCCTGGCCCCCGCCCCCACCGAATCTGAACCCCTGAACCCTTAAATTGAATCCCGAACCGATGACACCGGAGAATGCAACAATACTTTCTCAACACACCGAAGCCTGAACTGTATGCTTCAAAAGCCCTACGTTTTGAAAGACGCAAGGACATCGATCATGAAGGAAGAACGGTTCTTGTGAGGGAATAAATATGAATAAATGCTTGTGAGCCCCAGTGGGGTAGGCCGACGGGGGTAGTTTTTCCAGGGTCAAGGTACACACTGATCGAGCCCCTAAAGCCGAAACGCTAAACCCCTAAACCCTAAACCCTACCTCCTTTACTAATTAGGCCTCGCAACCCGAATTTCAAACAGCCCCTAGTCCTGACGTCTTAAGGACACGATGGAGCATACATCCTAACCCCTTCAAGCCCCAAGCCCCACAAACCCTGCCTATATCCGAATCCCTCCTGTCTCTTACACCCATAAATCCCCAAAAGCCTATACACCTAATATGCCTCGAATCTCTAAGACCTATAAACCGTAATCCTTGAATCCCTGAACCCGGTAACTGCAAAGCCCTATCCATCAATCAGGACCTTCTCCAGCACTTTCTCAGGCTCCTTCGGCTTGGTTTGAGGGTTTATGCCAATATGCTTACCCTGAGCCCTTCATGTAGGGGCCTCAATCGTTAGAATAGGGTTTTAGGGGGTTCCTTATTATAAATAGAGTATAATATACCCCAAACCCTATTCTAATTATTAAGGCTCCTATATTACTTAACGGAAGGGGGGCCGGGCGTTAGGCTGTTGAAGGCCCGGGTCCGACTTGTCAGTGCGAGTGTTGCGGGGCATGCAACTTCGGCTCAATCTGCCTATGTTCGGGGTTTAGGGTATAGGGCTTTAGGGTTTTAGGGTTTAGGATTTTAGGTTGGTTTAGGGTTAAAACGAAAAACGATGAGCTCCAAACCTCATCCATCGTGGCCGACGCATGACGCACGTAGCCAAAATCTCAAATGTATGAGCAGTAATCCCGGAGAATGCAGAAAGTAAAGTTAAAGAGTCGAGACGTCCGAACCTCCAACCATCCTTGGACCCTAGATGACCTACCTTCTGAATTAAGGACTTTTGTATGGAAATCATACCATAGAACCCTAAACAAGGTAGGCAATTCAGGGTTCAGGTCAAGCCTACAATTACCCCTACGCCTTCAACTTGCTTAACACATCCGAAGCAATGACAACAAGGGCCGATGACCGCAAACCTTCCGAAACCCATTGAGGAATATATCTTGAGGTTTAATAGGGATCCTACAAGAATTACAAGTATATTCCTCAATTAAGGCATCTTGGTCTGGGACCATCGGTGAATGCCCGCAGTAAGGGCGAATTGAAGCTTCGGCTCTGGAACTTCTACTTTTGCTTCGGGCTCCACACAGGGAAAGATTATCTGAAAAAGTGTAAACTGTACGCACTCAGCTCTACTATAAGCTACCAGTGTTTAAGGGCTTTGGCGGACTAGGAAACTCAGAGATTTCAGCTGTAAGGCCTCAAGCTTCAGGGTCGAGCCGACACCCTGACGTCTGGAAAAGTGCCCTCGTTCAACAGACGAAGTTCTAGTTACACATCAGACCCCGGAAACCCCTCTGATTTAGGGTTCGTATAGGAGGATACTTCACAATGGTGGCTTTATGAGTGGTAGTGTCTTCTGACAACTCAGGCCAATGCTTCTCACTGAACAAGATCAAGACATGTGTGGGGAAGTTGGAACATGAGTAATTGTCTTCATGCCCTGTTGGCACAGAATGGGGAATCGCTGCCACCCTATGCGGAAGCAAAACTCGACGAAACCCGGGCGCGCCTTTTCCTTCGGCTTCTCCTCAGTTTTCTGCTTCTCTGCCTTTGGGGCCTCTGGCTTTACATCCTTCGGCTTATCGTCCTTCTTGTCGGCTTCTGCCTTAGGCTTGTCGTCCTTTTTGTCCTCTTTCTTCTCTTCTTTCTTCGCACCATCGGCCTTAGGCTTGTCATCCTTCTTGTCGGCCTCTGCCTTAGGCTTGTCATCCTTCTTGTCCTCTTTCTTTTCCTCCTTCTTGGCGCCATCGGCCTTAGGCTTGTCATCCTTCATGTCGGCCTCTGCCTTAGGCTTGTCATCTTTTTTGTCCTCTTTCTTTTCCTCCTTCTTGGCGCCATCGGCCTTAGGCTTGTCATCCTTCTTGTCGGCCTCTGCCTTAGGCTTGTCATCCTTTTTGTCTTCTTTCTTCTCCTCCTTCTTGTCGGCCTC